CGGCTTCAGATAATCCTATCGGGGCTTGACTGTTTCTTCTGCGCTTAGATTCCCCTATACGATTCCAGCAGCCAAGGAAAGATGATGGTGAAATAAGATGTTACCAGCTTTTAAGGGTTAACAATCGGAGACGTCAATACGCTGTCTGTCAAAATATCGTTGTCTAATTATTTACACTATTTGTATTCGGACGATGGTCCTCATCTTTGTTGTTCTTGTCACAAATTTTCGGCCGTTGGGCCCTCGGCCCTTCCACGTGAATGAATCGATCTGGGTAACCAGCAGGGAATTCTGAACTGAATCTTTTATTTAATCTACGGAGGTAGGGAAACCATCTTTAACAAAGCCAAGAAAGATAATGAAATATCCCTAAAAGAGAATGGATGTTTGGCATACACACACAGCATAAGAAAAAGCCAACAGAAAAATCATATGGTTCATCTCGTGCAACAAAAAAATGTAGGGAAAATATTAATTAAACTCATAGACAAAGACTACCCACCATATGAAGCACCCTCCTCAAGATATTCAAAAACACAGTATCAATCAGCTACAGTTGCACTGAGAACATGACGCAGATAATAAAAAAAAAAATAGAAAAATAACTAACAAACCACCTGAACAAATTAAACCTACGTGTAAATGCAGAAGAAGAATAAAGAAAATAAATAAAATAAAACAAATAAGCAAAAACAAGTAAAATAAATTAATTCAAACAAATAAATAAGTAAATAATAAACAAATGAACAAACTACGTATGAATTGATAAACACAAGAAAATATAGTAATAACAGACAACAATAAAATAATCAATAATAAATAAAAAGTTATCTAAAAGCACTATAAATAGCCAAAAAACTGCATTCGGATCCACAATTATTTCCACTCAATAGACCCTAGAATAATTTGAAACATAACTGTTATCACCCACAAAAATAACCATTCGAATATTACAATTGAATGCTCACGATGCAATACATCAGACTATCCACAACGTTTCACTGACCTTTATATATAATAATTGAGAAAAATACAATGTAGATGGTATGACGAATGCATTTAGCATGCAACAGACTATTGTATCTGGGTGTTGACTTCAGTGTCCACTTTCATATTTACATATGTTTTATCTCTGATATTGAGCACTTTAACCCATAACTTAAAACTATATTCTAGCATATATTGCTTGGAAAATATATTGTATATATACATATAAAATTGCTGTTTCATTTTCATTGGTTAATCATATTTCACGAGCATTTGAATTGTTAAAAAAACGTTAGTATAATTTATACTTTTTATGGCGCTCCAGATTCAAGAAGATGCGTCATTTATATATATATATATATATATATATATATATATATATATATATATATATATATATATATATATATATATGATAAATTAACTGATTTACCATGTTTCAAAAAAAAAGCTAAAACCTTCAAATTTAATTATATAATTAAATTAAAAGCCCTAGTTCTGTTTCATCATATAATTAAATAAAAAGCATTAGTTCTGTTTTATCTTCAAGATGAAACAGAACTAATGCTTTTAATTATATAATTAAATTTAAATATTTTAGCTTCGGTTTTTGAAACATGGTAATTCCTGTGTAGCGAAGAAACCATATTTTAAATCAGTTAATTTATAATATTTATGCTCTGTAAATTTACATTGAGCACTGTTTTTTAAAAATAAAATTATCAATAAGAACACCGGGTTATATATCTTACTGTTTTTTATTTTTATCATTATATATATATATATATATATATATATTGCAAGCAAAGAGACTGTCTCCTTGGGCTTCACGTTATTAGACTCTAGTGTGTATCATACATTCCCCTCACACTCCCCCCTTTTTTTTCCCTTTGTGCTGTGCATATTCGCGCGGTTTGAAATATATTTTTTCCCCTCATGCCATTAATTCATTTCATTTTTAATGTTTTAATTGTATGTAGGGTGTTTGTGTGAGTCAATATATATTGCAATAATTGTTAAATTGTTCCCAGTCGACCCTGATGAGCTTGGGAAAGAAACCGGTTGGTCTGTTCTGTAAGTGTTATCATTTCTTATTTTTTTATTTTTCATAATGCCTTTAGGAAATAATTTGTATCTATTCCTTGCAATATATATATATATATATATATATATATATATATATATGATGTTAGGTAGAGCACTTTTGGGGCATAAAGCTTTAGTTCCTTATCCTCGGCGCTATATTTCCTTATGTCATTGCGAACTTTTCTTTGCTATACCGGCATGACTCTCCGAGTAGAACTTTTTTTTTGTTTGTTTTCGGCTATTTTTTTATCTTGGCCGGATGGTTTGGTTGGTCCGCCATATTGAACTCGACTGGTGGTATGTAGGGTACCCATTCTAGAAACTACAGTCACCGGTTGCCCGCCGTCGTCGAACACTCTTCATTCGTGCAGAGAGGAAGCCGGACGAGGCTATCCCGAAGGGAAGACACTCATCCGGGGTGATAGACAGACCCGACCCCGTGTATTTAGGATCTACCGGACATTTTTGCACGAGCCTACGTGCTCGAAATTGCTCCACCTACAACCTAGCCTTGTGCCTCATCCTACCTAATGTGGAGGTTGGTAAATACCAACGGGTGCCTGAAGATTGCGCGCAAACTAATGAAACTGGCAGTCGTGGCCAGTTACTGCCTACTGGATTTCTCTTTAGTATTGAAGCTTTGACTTTTTGATGGTTCGGGCACTATTGATCACTCTTTTTAAAGGAGCTGATAGTTTTCTCTAATACACACACACACACGTATATATATATATATATATATATATATATATATATTGTCATCCAAAGACAGACTGTTTCGCTGCATCACAGTTCATCAGTGTGGCTAGAGGTCCGTTTGTCTCTAGCTAGGATCGAAACCTGACTGAATTGGCGTCAGTCGGGGATTCTACAACTAAACCGTTGGCGCACGAAAGGTTTGAACGCGATTTTAAGCGTATTTATTTTTAGATAAACACACAGTGACTGTGAGAACTCGATTCGATTTACCGAAGAGCCTTCATCGTCAATGTTTACAAACTCACACTCCACCCCCCAGAGAGCTCAATCGAAATAAATTTTTCAGGAGCATATATATTGTCATCCACAGACAGAGTGTTTCGCTGTATCACAGCTCATCAGTGTGGCTAGACGTCCGGTTGCCTCAAGTTAGGATCAAAGCCCGACTGAATTGAACACACTCGAAGTTTGATCAATAAGTATCTGGACCTTTACTAGAAAAAGAAAACTACAATACATATCAATTCGGGATTTAATCTCCTTCGAATTAGTCCCCTTCTGAAGCCACGAACTTTATCAGGCGTCCTTCCCAGTGAGAGAAGCATTCCCGGAGCTCATTTGTGAGGATAGTGAGCGAGAAAATGCTTTGTCGCATTCTTTGGGATTTCTTTGATTCTTGAATTCTTGTTCCTTTCAAATGAGATTTGATTTCTGAAGAGGAAGAAGACGCAAAGGGCGAGACCTGGGTAATACGGTGGTTGTCGCACGTGGGAAATGTTGACCTCGTCCAAAAAACAGCTTGCTTCATTATGGAACTTCTGTGGTGTGGTAAGACGACCACACTCTACGCACTTTCTTTCCAAGCATTTATTTCAACAACGGAAGCGGACGGGAACTATGCGCCCAGCGGTTTCACTCCGCGTACTTTAGCTCCGTTACCATAGCAACAGTCCCCATACTTTTTGGCCAATCCCATTCATTAATGTCCTTATCTTCATTGCCATATTCACCTGAAGATATATCTCAAAGATCGTACAACGGCCGAAACTTTGTGAATATGTCATTGAAGATGAGGATAACAGTCCGAATAATTTAAAAAATGCAATTAATCATCATACCTCATCTCAGAGATATAGACAGATATTGAAGGCCGGAGCGTACAACAGTCGAAACGTATTGAATATGGCAATGAAGATGAGGATAACAGTTCGAATAATGTAAATAATTCAAGTAATCATAATACCTCATCTCAGAGATATAGACAGATATTGAAAGCCGGAGCGTAGAAAGGCTGAAACGTTGTGAATATGGCAATGAAGATGAGGATAACAGTCCGAATAATGTAAATAATTCAAGTAATCATAATACCTCATCTCAGAGATATAGACAGTCATAGGTCCAGGTTTCAGGTATTAGGTCGTTCATCCACTTTTAGCCTGGCGTAGCCTGCGGTTATTAGCTCTGTTAGCGGAATCGGTGAGCAGAGTTCAAATTCGTCTCTAACCTCTTGTGTTCATTTCACAATAATCCTTAGTGGAAAGTTTGAAACCACTTTTTGCCCACACATCTTTAAGTATGATACCGGACTCACTCGGTGAGAAGCCCGTCTAAGAGGAGCTCAAAAACCGTGGAGAATACAACACTAGTATATTTCCCCAAGCCGTCATATAAAATTAGTACAGAATTGGGGAGATTCTTGATCGTCTTCGTCCCGGAGTGTCATGGCACTATAAAAAATGACGTTAATGAAACTTTCTTAACCAAGAACCTTTACATAAATAATTAGATTTAAATATATACATTTGAATGGTTATTAAAAAAGTTAAAATGCAGCTGCTCCATAAAGAAACATCAGAATATTGATTCTAGGAAATGGCAAGTCGAGAACTTTTCAGCACTTTTAATTTGACCTTATGCTGCACCGAGCCAAATTTATCAAGTATTGTCAATATATACACATATACCCAAGCGAACACTCATACAGACGCCTATATGTTCGTCTGCATACATTTATGCTCTATTACGGACGGAGAGAAGGAATTTTGAAATTTTAATTAAATTTTCTTTGCGTGCAAGAGGACGGAGATCTGGGTTAAATAAAACATTAAGTCTGTAACGCTTGGGGAAAATACGTACATTAAAAGCATTCTCTTGTAAGAAAAGTTAATTAAGAAATTTTATTAAAAAATTAATTTAAGAAAACATTCTTTGTCTATGATCTTATAAAGAAAAAATATACATTGGAATTGCTGCCTGAGCACACACAGACACATGTGCGCCCCTTATCTATCTATCTATCTATCTATCTATCTATCTATCTGTGTGTGTGTGTGTGTGTGTGTGTGTTGAGACATGTTACGTTGAATAATTTAGACATCTCCTGTCTACTTATTTTCGATTGGATCCTTTTTCATATTCACGGATAAAATTTTTGCTGTCATTATTCAAGGACGAGAGAAAATGCCATCATCAGAGTATTGTTTATTGATGATGACATTTTCGGTCTGTCGAAAGTACTCGGAAATAAACGAAATATGTATCAACATGGCAATTTTCTCTCGTCCTCCAATAATGGCACCAAAATCTTATCCGCGAATATGAGAAAGGATCCTATCGAAAATAAGTAGACAGAACATGTCTCAATAAAAACATGCGGCCGAAATATATACACACACACACACACACACACACACACACACACACACACACACACACACACACACACACATATATATATATATATATATATATATATATATATATATATATATATATGTTCGGAAATAGTATAGTTTATAAATGAATTTAAAAGACAACATTTTGATGTTTGGGAACAAATTAATTCAAGCAACGACATCTCAGAGGCGGTTTGATGACTGTATCGTTCCAAAAGTTATTATCTTTCTGGGTCATGGATTTTTACTAGCATCTATAGAATTGTTCTTCCTGTAAAGAGTATATTTGCAGGGATCAAAATAAGTGTAACTGGCTGGTATATTAGGGTATTTCGTTAAAGCTGTCCAATTTCTCCCGGGTCAGCAAAAAGACGCGATATTTGGCGTTATACTACCGTCTGATCAATTCGGGGCGCTTTTCATCGATTACTACCTTTATTAGGTACATTTGTGGACGGTACATGCAATGGATAATAGTTGTTCATTTCGAATTCCCCATGAATATTTTACGCTTCCCATTGTTGTAAACAATCAATTTTTCATCGTTTATGATCATTCTTTTCCAAACATGGATCTTATTTGTTCTATTTGAACAGAGAAATGCCTTTAAGATGGAAATGCAGGACATTAAAACCTTTCTTTTTAATCGTGTGGCACCCAAATATCGTAACAAAACACGTATCTAAGTGTTTTCAAATAACTCACAACACTCCTATGAGACATGTGGAGTATCCCAGCGATGACTTCTGTCATGTAGCTGGATTATTTTAATCTGCGTTTCGATTTCGTCATAATCAACGACTGCCGGCCTGCTGGAACATTCTCGATTTACAGATTAAAATTTCCACTTCTATACCTAGTAAAAGACACCCAGGCTCTACTTTCAGCTACGGCACCTTCTCAATAAACGGTACATATCCCATTTTGCTGTTTGTAAAGAGATTTCTTTTTTTCCGGAAATAAAAGACCATCAAATAACAAAAATGCCTCTAATTTTTAAAGGAAAAGGATTTAAAATCACTGAGCTAGAACCATGCGTCATTATTGCAGTATGTCGTGTATTAAAATTTGGACACCATCCCTTTTAGAATTTCCCCTTGTGAACGTTCACAATGATCCCAGAAACTCTACTAGGATTTAGTTTTACGAGCCGAGGTAGAACTTTTCCACCACCGTAAAGCATGTTCAAGTTCTTTGTGAAGACACCTGGTTGATTCCAATCCGGTGAGAAAGCTGATTATTTGACGACAGTCTTAATTAATAGGATCATGTATAATTTGCAGATGATTATGAATGCTCATGACAGCGAACGTGAAACACGCCAGTTTTTATTTACGTAGACCGGTTGACAGGTCCTTCTTTCTGAAGTGAATGTAATGGAACTCAGCTCTCTGATTCCTCAATCCGAGCCGCTATCCATTAACGTATCTCCATATAAAATACATTGGTATATTATAATAATAAATATAATAATAAATAAAATTAAAAAAAAAATATCAAAATCAAAAGAATCCACAAAAACAGTTTCATTTCTCGAACTCTGGAAACCTCTTCGGTGTTCTTGCTTTCTAGTAAATTATGATCTTTAAAAGTTTATCCACAATATTAATCCCTGCCCTCAAATCTTAGTAAAGTTTGTCCATTTCTTATATTATTTCACTAACCCCGTTACGCTTTATTGGATTTATTGCCTAGATTTGGGATGAAATTATTTTTAAAAAAGTACCTGATGAATTGCATCAAGGAACTCGGAAGTAGATTTAACAGACGACACTCAAAACCCGAGTCAATAAGACTGGTCTAACTCGGCAGTAGATTTAACAAACAAAACTCAAAACCCGGGGGAATAACACTGGTCTAACTCGGCAGAAGATTTAACAAACAAAACTCAAAACCCGGGGCAATAACACTGGTCTAACTCGGCAGTAGATTTAACAGACGACACTCAAAACCCGGGTCAATAAGACTGGTCTAACTCGGCAGTAGATTTAACAAGTGACACTCAAAACTCGAGGCAATAACACTGGTCTAACTCGGCAGTAGATTTAACAAACGTCACTCAAAACCCGGGGCAATAACACTGGTCTAACTCGGCAGAAGATTTAACAAACAAAACTCAAAACCCGGGTCAATAACACTGATCTAACTCGGCAGTAGATTTAACGAACAAAACTCAAAACCCTGGTCAATAAGACTGGTCTAACTCGGCAGTAGATTTAACAAACGTCACTTAAACCACAAGGCAAAACACTGGTCTAACTCTGCAGTAGATTTAACAAACAAAACTCAAAACCCGGGTCAATAAGAATGGTCTAACTCGGCACTACATTTAACAAACAAAACTCAAAACCCGGGGCAATAACACTGGTCTAACTCGGCAGAATATTTAACAAACAAACACTCAAAACCCGGGGCAATAACACTGGTCTAATTCGGCAGTAGATTTAACAAACAAAACTCAAAACCCGGGGCAATAACACTGGTCTAACTCGGCAGTAGATTTAACAAACAAAACTCAAAACCCGGGGCAATAACACTGATCTAACTCGGCAGTAGATTTAACAAACAAAACTCAATACCCGGGGCAATAACACTGGTCTAATTCGGCAGTAGATTTAACAAACAAAACTCAAAACCCGGGGCAATAACACTGGTCTAACTCGGCAGTAGATTTAACAAACAAAACTCAAAACCCGGGGCAATAACACTGGTCTAACTCGGCAGTAACAAACGTCATTTAAAACAAACTAACTCGGCAGTAGATTTAACAAACGTCACTCAAAACACTAGGCAATAACACTGGTCTCACTCGTGAGCCATTGTAAAATCCCAGATGCGCCCCCATCAAGAAAGTCGTGTATGAATTGAACATAAATAAATGACACAAAATCGATGAGATGTTTGATGCAGTCGGCTAGATATGGGTGAGCCTTAACATCACGGGTATGGGTATTTTTGTTGCCAGACGGTGGCATCATTAAGAATTCTTCAGATATTATCACGTGTATTATATATATATATATATATATATATATATATATATATATATATAGAGAGAGAGAGAGAGAGAGAGAGTTCCTTAATGATACATCATATATATATATATGTATGTATATATATATATATATATATATATATATCAGGATACATGGTAGATATATTAGTACGAATGAGGTTTTTTTATGATTTTCTCATCCTGTTTGTAGTTAGTATGCATCTATTTACAATATAAGTGTCTGATATATTTTGACTCCTTTGAGGATCGCTCTGTTTGACGTGTGTTGAAGTTGTTAATAAATCGTCTTATTTGTTCATCTACAATGTGGTTTTGGAGATCATTATTAATGAGCATCTGCTTAATATGTTTTAGTTCAGTGTAAAAATCTTTTCTGTGGAGGAATTAATTTGTACTCTGTTAATTAAATTCTGTATTAAAGAAAATTAATCATATATTATACTATATGTATCTATATATATATATATTTATTTATTTACATATATATGTATGTATATATATATGCATGCATCTTTCTATATCTATATATATATATGTGTGTGTGTCTATATACATGTGTCTTTCTGTCTATATATATATGTATATATATATATATGCATGTATCTTTCTGTCTATATATATGTATATATATATGTATGTGGGTGTGTATATATATAAGCATTTATCTTTCTCTCTCTCTCTCTCTCTCTATATATATATATATATATATATATATACAAAAGACAATACTTGAAAATCGTAAAACATAAGGAAAATTAATTCCTTTTAATAAGATGTGGCTATAAAGAGTCTTTGCTTGATTAAAGGTCGCGAGACCGGAAACGTGTGTAGCAAAAATATGGGAAACAATTAGAGTATATATTTTAAAAAATCTACATTCTAACCAAAAACGTTTGCGGCTTCTCTCTTTTCTCTCGTTGGAACAACTATACCCTCTCCATTATATTTATCATTATATATCTCTGTGTGTATATCTTTCATTGAAAAATATAGACATATTATGTGTATTTATTTTTATACTGATCCTTTCCAATTCTCTAACTTGTTTCTTGATGTTAAGATGGAATTCATGAACGAATTAACATCAAGAAACTGATTAGACAACTGGAAATGATCAGTATAAAAATAAATGCACATAATATATCTATATTATTACACAGTGAACTTTCTTCGAGCGAAATACTGTCTAAATATAAATCTATAGGGCGCGATGGATGAATTGTCGTCTAAATTACGCAAAAATAAAAATAACACTGAAATCTCATTTTAGCAGATATATTTACCAAAATTACGCAAAGATATCTTGAAATACTAAAGGGTAAATTTATTTAATAAAATCTATATTGGCTTTAATCATGGCCTCCAGACGACTACGGAATCTCCTATATCTCTTCTGTGCGTTCTTCGTTTTTTTGTTTGCTGCCATAATCCTTGCTTTCAGTTCATCTTTGGTGTTACAAGGAGTTTTGTTGGTCTCTCGTTCAACTGCGCCCCAGACATAATAATCAAGGGGGTGGCTGCAGTCTGGGGAGTTAGGTGGCCGGATGATCGTGGTGATTCAGTCACAGAAATTGTCTGACAGCGATGACTGTGTCCTCTTGTTTGTATGCTTAGTGCAGTATCCTTTTGAC